AGATAGCACAAAACACGCCAGCACAACCGCACACACACACATACACACAGCTGCTGCAACGCACAAAGAATGGAAGGTATGTCTTCTTTGGGCTGCAGGCGTGACAGCACGTAACACCACAGCAGCGGCAGTGGTGGCGACGGTGACTGGTGGAGAAGCTTGCCTCGCACAAGGAACAATAGTCCAGCTACCAGCAATTGACACACACACACACACACACATACACACGCACACACACACACACACACATACACACAACTTACATGAGCAAAATGCATGGCTGCCAGCCTGCATGGTTGCTCCGATGGTTGCATGCAAGCAAAACAGTGTCGCTCAAGCATTGCATCATGGGCAAGTGCAGCAAGTGCAGCTGCAGGTATGCAGGGCAAACTCACATCCTCCTGCCACTCGGGTCGCGGGAGAATCATGGGGTCTCCGAGCGCATAGTGCTGCGAGTATGTCAACATACGTGCGCGCTCCACTTTGGACGTGGGCACGAACACGCCCCTGTTCTCCGGGCACCGAAAGTAGCGCACCCCGCTCATGACGCCGTCGTGGGCACCAATGGCCTGCGCGTGAGAGAGCGAGGTGTGTGTGTGTGTGTGTGTATGTGTGTGTGTGTGTGTGGTAGGGGATTGTGTGTGTGTGACTGGTGACAGAGCAGAGGAGTAAATGCACGGACATCATATGAAAGCGGAGTTGGAGACACGAACAACTCCAACACAGGCACACAGACAGGCCACACAGGCACAGACACAGACACACCCAGACACATACACATAGCGTCACCTCATCAAGCTCAATGCCCGCCCACTCGCCGGCCTCAAAGTGGACAAGACCGCAGTAGCGCAGCACCCCAGCCCGCCCTTTCACCGTCACCCTGATTAACATGGTGGGGGTGGTGGCAACGGCAGCGGCGGTGTGAATGTGTGGCTGATTGCACGCACCGACACCTGTGGGTACTTGTTGCGTTTCTCACCGCGCTCACGACAACTTTCCCCTTCAGCGCGGCACACACACACAGGTACACACACACACACACACAGGTACACACACACACAGGTACACACACACACACAGGTACACACACACACACACACACACACACACACACACACACACACACACACCTTGCGTTGAGCGGAATACCGGTCGCTGTTTCTTCTTCGCTCTGTGGGCCGCGCACCTCCATGTTTGCAATGGCATCGCGTGCATCCTGCTCCGTGGTGATGGCCTGCCCCACAGATCCGTCCGTGCTGTACCCGCGACTGCGCTGCGAATCAGCGTGCGCCCGCCCAGCGTACGGCACTTCACTGTCGTCGTCCGTTTCATCGTCCCCGTGGAGCTGTTCATAGCTCTCTCCTTGTGCACTGTTCCTGTGGCGGTACGGGCCACGACCAGCGTACAAGGTGTCGTTGTCATCGTCATCTCCATCCTCGTCAGCGTGCCTGTGGCCTCGTTGGCGCTGCCTGTCCCCATAGGGTGCGGATGTGCGAGCATCTCGGTGGACCCCGTTGTCCGTGCCGTGCTGCCGGCGTGTGTGGTGGTGAGACGAGTGTTCGGCGCCTTCAAAGAGAGTGTCCCACGATATCATGCCGCCAGAGGCGGTTGAGCTGGCGAAGGACGCGGTTCTGTCCATGTCATCGGCCCTCATCATCGCCATGGGCTCCTCTACCAGCTGCTGGTGCTGGTGGTGTTGTTGTTGTTGTTGTTGTTGTTGCTGCTGCTGCTCAGCCTCTTCATACGGGTCAGCGAATGGGTTGAGGTTTTGGCTGTGCTGGCCGCTGGTGAGCAATGCGGCCAGCTGCGCAGCAGGCGAAGCAGAGGACGTGGAGGATGGGGTGGAGCGACGACGGCGCTGAGCGGAGTCTTGCCGGCGAAGATGGCGGTGTTGGCCGTCACCGTCATCACGACCATCTCGGCTCTGGGGCCGGGTCGCAAACGGCTCCTTCAACGAGGATCTGCTTGTGTCATGACCGCGCTGCTGCTGTTGCTGGTGTTGCTGCTGGGGGTTGTGGCGGTCGTGCGTAGCGGCCATTGCGTCTGGGCGCTGGTAGCGCTCCGAGGAGCGGAGATACGCTGCGAGGGCGGAGTTTGAAGTGGCGAGGCGCTGCTCGAGTTTGGACTTTGGGTCGGTCCTGTTGTATTGGAGCTTGCGCAGCTGCTCCAGGCGCTCGAAGACGGTCTCGAGCGCGGGGTCGTCGTCTGGGCCTGCGGCTTCGTAAGACACGGGATCGCCGTCGAAGAAGCGCAGCGCGAGGTGGCTGCCGCGGTGCTTTGCGCTGCACACGCTGGAGATGCGGTGGAACAGCTGGTTCTGCTGCCAGTCGACGGGATCAAAGACCAGCCGTTTTGTGGTCAAGTGCAATGTGCCCAGCCATCCTTCGTGCCGCACCTGGCATTTCTGCAGCACCTGCTCATTTCGCTCCAGTGCAAGCGACATTGTCTTGCGGGAAGGCAAGAAAGGAAAAAAAGGGGGGGGGGGGAATGAGGAGTGAGCAGGCAAAGGTGGGAAGGCCGGCGAGCAAGGGAAGCCCGAAGACACAAAGGAAGGAGGGGAAGGAGGATAGACAGGCAGGAAGCGAGCGAGTGGTGTCTTCTTCGTTGTCTGTCGTGGGTGGTCTGCTTCAATCTGTGTATTTTTGTGTGTCGCCCATCGCAAACTGTCGGGCCAAGGAAATCAATGCAATTTGTGCTGTCGTTGAAAGCAGCTGGAACTTTCTGCTGGCACACGTGTGGCGCGGAAATTTTGCGGTGTAGCGGCTGGGTTTTGTTGCATCCACTGCCAACTGAGCGAAAAAAGCAGCCACTGGAAAGCGTGTCATCCTTCGTGTGTGTGTGTGTGCTTGCGCTTCGTGAGCGTCGTGTGCACCATGGCATCATTTCCTTCATTGCACCAAGCACGCAAGCACGCAGCCCAGCAGATATCAGCACCTGCTCGTTTCCACCCTCAACTCCACAGACACACAGACGAACCATCACCATGAGCAAGGCTTTTGTTGGCAAGCCCGCCCCCGACTTCAACGCCGAGGCCCTCCTCGACGGCACCACCTTTGGTGAGGTCAAGCTCAGCGACTACCGCGGCAAGGTGAGCAGCGCTCTCTGCATGTGTTCAGTGCGCGCGTCTCTGCGCGTGTGGAGCGCAGTTGCTGGTGTTTCTCTGAATTCCTTTGGTGACCCATGGTGGTCGTCTTGGTGTACCAAAACGGCTGTTTCTGTCTTGTTGGGGTGCGCTTCATGCTGCGTTTGAGCGGAGAAGCTGGCGTGTCGACGGCCAAAACACCCGAGACAAGCGTCACACAAGTTCTGCCAACTTCATCACACTATGCGCACATTCCCGCCACTCCACCTTTCAACCTTTCCCGCCATTCCACCTTCCAACTCGCTCCTTTCCTCCCCTCCTCCCCCCGGCTTCACCCTGCTTTTGGTCGATACAGTACCTCGTCATTGTCTTCTACCCTCTCGACTGGACCTTCGTCTGCCCCACTGAGATCCTTGCCTTCAACGACCGTGTCGAGGAGTTCCAGAAGATTGGCTGCGAGGTTGTCGTCGCGTCCACCGACTCCAAGTTCTCCCACCACTCCTGGGCCAACCACCCACGCAAGGATGGTGAGTCATGCTGTGCGCCTCCTCCTCCTCCTCCTCCTCCTCCTCCTCCTCCTCCTCCTCCTCCTCCTCCTCCTCCTCCTCCTCCTCCTCCTCCTCCTCCTCCTCCTCTTCCTCCTCCTCCTCCCTTGTTGCTGTGCCGTACTCGCCGTTGTCACACTGGCGGCACTGTCTGGCGGCGCCTTGTTTGCCACACCTCATCGTCCCTTTGTGTATCCCCGCGAACATGTGGCGATTCCACAGCCCCGCCCCCACACGCTGACTTTTGTTTTAACTGTCTCACACATTGCCCACACCCAACCTTGCGCCTGCCCTTTGTCCACTTGCTCTCTCTGTCTCTCTCCATCTCTGTGTTTTGGACAGGCGGTCTTGCCCCCATGAAGATTCCCATGCTCGCCGACCCCAACCACCAGCTGTCCAAGGACTACGGTGTCTACGTTGAGGAGGATGGCTTCAACCTGCGCGGCCTCTTCATCATTGACGACAAGGGTGTCCTTCGTCAGATCACCATCAACGACCGCCCCGTTGGCCGCTGCGTCGACGAGACGCTCCGCCTTGTCCAGGCCTTCCAGTTCACCGACAAGCACGGTGAGGTGTGCCCTGCCGGCTGGACCCCTGGCGCCGCCACCATCAAGCCCGACGTCGAGGAGAAGAAGGAGTACTTCAACGCCGCCAATTGACTCGCACGCGCGTCGCAGGGAGAGCAGCAGCCGCCAACCACCCCATCCTTCTCACCACCCAAGCAACAGAAGCACCCACAGCCCTCATCATCCTCCCAGCAGCACGAGCACCAGCGCACATCCAAGCCACAAAAGAGCAGCATGTGCACCTGCGTGTAAGTGAGCTGATTGTCCATGGATTGACCGGGTTGATGGTTTCACGCTGTTAGTGTGCATCCTCCTGGTGTTGTCCACGTTGTTGTTCATCCCAATTTACTCTCTATCTCCGTTTCGTTGTCTAGTAGCGCGTTGTGTGTCGTGTGCGTTGCTCGCCGTTGTTGTGAGATGTTGCATCTGCTCCTTCTGTGAGCTGTATTCGCCGTGTTTGCTGTAACTGTTGCCGCTTAGCTGCCTGTTCCTTCCTGTTTGTCGCACCCAACGTTCAGTCCAGTCAGTTAGAGGATTGACAACGGTGGCTGTGATGCGAAGCGTTGTGCATTGCACGCTTGTCAATAGTCACACCCTGTTGTCGGTTCTCCTTTGTGCGCTGTGTCTACGACACGTTCACACCCAACACAAGTAAACAAAGGTTTCTTCTACCCAGACAGTGATTGAGAGAGTGGTTGAGAGAGAGAGAGAATGTGTGTGTGTGTGTGTTTGTTTGTGTGGATGAGGTAGTACTGACTGGTGTGTGGATGAGGTGGTGCTTGTTGGGATGCTCCACATGGTTTGATGTGATGCTACACATGATTTGATGTGATGAGATTTACAAGCCAATGAAAACGAGAAGAAGAAGAAGAAGAAGAAGAAGAAGAAGAAGAAGAAGCGACAGCTAGTAATGGGACACAACGCGGCGTGCCCGAAGCACGCCTCAGAACCAATGCTAAGGTCAAGGAATGCATCCTTGGAAAATGTACATGAGACACAAGAAGGTATTGTCATTCAACTCAAAGAAGGAAGGGTGGATGGAAATGAAAAACGAAACACAGCATTCGAACAGTAATGCACTGCAACAACACCAGCACAGCACACTGATCCTGGCCAGCTAGGGCGGCGACGACGAGTGTGGCAAGTGGTGTTCGTCTGTGCTGTGCATGGCCTCTTGCAATGCCTCCATGGACACCTGCAAAAGTACAACGAACAGGGCACGGAAGAAAGAGGAGGAGGTGAGCTGCAGCGCACGCAAGAGGGATGTGGCAGACAGAACATGAAGGTGGTAGTTTGAGCAAACACACGAGTTTCAGTTACAAACAGGTAGATGGCAAAGCTGATCAACACATGTGTGCGTGCGTGTGTCTCACCCCACTGCCGCCAGCGGCAAGGTCAGGCTGCCTCACCTCGTGTAGTGGAAGCGGGGACAGGGGCGGCAGCGGCGGCTGGGGGACCGTGGTCGGGTTGTCCAGCGCTGATGACGTTGGTGGCGCCGTTGCGTGCTCGTGCATGGGGAGCGACAGAGGGTTGTGGATGGGCGGGGACAGGTGGCCCATCGCGGGTATTGCCGGCGCGTCCGGGTGGTGCGGGTTGGAGTGGTGTGGCGAGTGCTGCTGATGCAGGTGAGGGTGCAGGTGCGAGGGATCCGCAGTGGGGTGCGCAGCGAGCATGCCACCGTCAGGCGCATGGTGGTGCCCTGGTATGGCATGAGTCGTGGCTGGAGCAGCTCCGTGCGACGCGTGCTCGGGATTCGTGGCATCAGCCTCGCCCTCGGCCTCATGCTCCTCGTCCTCCTCATCGTCGCTGCTCACAACGTACTGCTGGTCAGCACTCAAGCACCGCGGCCTGCACAACCACGCCCGCCCGCAACACAACAGTGCGTTAGTCGTGGTGCCGGCAAATTGGGTGGGTGGCTGCGGCGGATTGGACGGGTGAAACGAGTCTTCTTGCAAAGAACTTGGACCGAACGGCCACCGTGAAACGAAACGAAACGAAACGAAATGAAATGAAACGAACAGACAACACGGGCAACAAAGCAGCAACAGCAGCAACAGCATCGGCGGCAGCAGGAACAAGGGCACACCTGAGCTTCTTCGTGTCGTAGTAGCAGCGAATCACGCTTCGCGTGGATCGGTTTGGGAGCTGAAGCGGCGAATGAATTTGCACAAGGATGGAGCACAAGCGGTCAGTGAGAAGCAGATGCTGTGACTGGCTGTGACTGGCTGAGACTGGGAACACGAATAACACTCACACAGACAGCAACAGGCATAGACGCAGGCACGCGCACAGACTTACACGCACACACACACACACACACAAACAGGCATACAGACACACACACAAACAGACACACACACACACACACACAAACAGGCATACAGACACACACACAAACAGACACACACACACACACACACAAACAGGCATACAGACACACACAAACAGACACAAACAGACAGACACACAGGTACACCCACCCACAAACACATGCAAATTCAAAAGCATGCGTCACCTGTGCTGCGATGCGGTGAAAGTGGCGGTTTTCTGAGAGGACGAGCTGGTGCAAACGCTGAATCTCCTCAGACGTCCACGGGTGCGGCTCCTGAACACACGCACAACCACAGATACAGCGACAGCAACAAGGGTGACAGCAATCATCAGTGCAGTGCACCCGGAGCGGCGAGACGTGAGATTTGGAATGAGAAGCATACCAATGCAAGGGGCGTGCAACGTCAGCGCATGACGTTGTGTGAGCATTCTGCTGGCCCTGTTCCCTCTCCCCATTGACTGACGAAACCAACACGAACCAATGCAGACAATGAGTCAGGCGAAAAGACACACAGGAAGAAAAGAAAATGAGAGAGAGAGAGAGGAAGCGTACAATGTATGCCGCCATGGCGCTGCGGGCTGCCTCCGGGTCGTAGTTGTGGTGGAAAAGGGCCGTGAGCGCGTGTTCATAGCGCTCATCCCGCCCGCGATACAAATCTTCATACGCACGCAGCGCAGACGCCGACAGCCCTGAAGGGAAAGAGGAAGGGGGCGGGGGAGAAGAGGACACAGCCACGCAGCCACGCAGCCATCGCACCACAGCCAGCAGCCACGCCAAGACAGTGGGTGGTGAGAAGCCATCGGGCAGCGGTGAACCATCTCCACAACAACGCCATGCATGCAAACAAAATCCACTGCAGGTGTGACAATGCACACACTCATGGTACCAAGCGTGCAACAAGCACGGCATGCGCAACACGAGACGACAGCTCACCTGCACCTGGCGGAATAGGGGCCCAGACCTTGTTTGCCGTTTCCCCTCTGAAGCAGCACGTGCAGTTGATGGGATGAAGCGTGAGCGCAGGGCGAGGAATGCAGAAACACAACTGTGCACGAGACAAACACACGACCAACACACGCGCACACAAAACGAAACTGAACGCAGAAGCACGGAGAATGAAGGGGCGTAGCGTCGTCATCTTCAGTGCACACACACACACACACGCACGCACACACGCACACACACACACACACACCGGATTGGCTCGCTTGCATCCATGGCGTTGGAGACCTGGGCCTGGTACTCTGCACCAATCTTGGGCTGCGGTGCACGCAACCACGCAAGCGCAGCGGCAGATGCAGGCGAATGAGGGGCACATTTTTCAGTGGTGGTGACGTGAATGAGCCCGACACTCCTCTCTTACGGTGACAATACCAACGCCCACATCTCTCTTGTTGATGTGGGATGAGGCTGTTTGTTGTGGTGGTGTTGGTGGGATGGTGGTGGTGAGATGGCGGTGAGATGGAGACGATAACTGTGGTGGCTGTGGTGGTGGTAGCGCACCGGCTTGTACGACGAGACGTATTCCTCGTCAATGGCTGCATCCTCAGCAGCACGCCGCATGTACTGCAGGAATGGATCCGTCTCCTCCACGTCAGAACACCACTCCTCATCCTCCTCTTCTTCCAGCCCTCCCTCATTGCCATCACCAGCACGAGCACCACCAGCACGACCACCTTCATCATCGCCACTGCTTCTGTCGACGGCGGAGGCTGCGGCTGTTGGATGTGCCGCTCTCGGTCCCGTTGATAACGAAGTCGTGTCTTCCGACGAGGAGGGTGTTGCTGTTGCTGTTGTTGTTGTTGTTGCTGCTGTTGCTGTCGTCGTCGCTGCTGCTGTGCCAGAGTCTGACGGGGAGGCTGTATCATCATCATCCTTCAGTTTCGGTCGTTTTGACGCCTGTACCTCTCCACTATCGCTTTGCTGCTGCTGCTGCTGTTGTTGTTGTTGTCGTTTCTGCTGTTGTTCTGCCGCAACAGCAGCGGTGACAGCGGCAGAAGCGGTGGCAGCGGCTCTCCTCTTTCTCCTCCCTCGAGGAGGTCGAGCAGCACCATCACCTGCACCAGTTGTCGCTTCCTTATTCGCACCTACTGCCGTCAATGCTTGTTCTTTTCTCTCTTCTTCCATACTCGCCCCATCATCCTTGCCATCGCCATCGCCATCACCGTCACCGCCCCCGTAGTACTTCGCCATCAGCTCCTCCACACTCAATTCGTTGTCCTGCAGAGAGCCCGATCACACACACACACACACACACACACACATACACACACACACACACACACACACACACACACACACACACACAAGCAGTGTTGACGCGGAGCACCAAGGTGACGCGAGTGACCAGCAAAAGCAACCATGGGGCGGGGTGATGAGGATTGCACACATGAGGCGTGCGCGCACGCACAGTCACGCCTCGACGTACATGTGCTGGCGCATCGTGACACACGTAGATACACACACACACACGCACACACACACACACACACACACACACACAACACAACACAACACAACACAACACAACACAACACAACACAACACAACACACACGCATGCACACACACACACACGCACACACACACACACACACAGCACAACACAACACAGAGCGTGGTGTGCGCACCGCCTGGAGGTCTGCGAGTTCGTCGTCGTCGTCACCGAGCGCCTCCTCGTCCTCCCGCAGCGTCGTTTCGTCGTCGTCGTCGCCATCGCCGTCGTCCGCAGGGTCGTAGTCAACCCCTGCGGGTTGGTTGGTTCGTTGTGTGTGCGCGTGCAAACGATGTCAGCATGCCAAGGACACACGCACACACACACACAGACGGAGACACAGACACAAACACACAGACAGGCGGACAGACAGACACCAACCTGACTCACGCAAGCGCATGTGTCCTTCTTACCTGGTGGAACTTCCGGATCTTCGCTCCAGTCTGTGACAACGGCCGCGCCGCCCTCCACGCTCATGTGGAAGCGACGGAAATACACAAAGCTCGTGTCAGGTGACACCTGTTTACATACACATGTGTGTGTGTGTGTGAGAGAGAGGGTAAGTGAGTGAGTGAGCAAGCCACGCACGCACACACATACACACAGTGTGTGGGACATGAATAGCGAGCAGCAGCAACGCGAACAACAGGGTTTGTGCGCGTGCATGTGTGTGTCAGTGTGTGCGTGTGTGTGACCTTGAACTTGATGGACCACTGTGCTGGGGCGTTCTTGAATGCGCGAAAGGGCCGCATGGTGTACGTCGCGCCGTACGGGCCCTTGGACTTGTACCTGCAGCATACCCGCACCCACACATTCCGGGCAGTGAGGGCAACAACAAGCACAACACAAGAAAAGGAAGAGGAACACACAATCGAAGCGGATGCCCCATCTTCAAGAGGAGCTACGCGCACGCAGGTGTGGCGGCCAGACAGCTATGATAGATGAAGTCAACCGTCGTGGGCTGAGCGGCACACACCATTCTGCTGCGAGGGACATGGCTGTCTCCGGGCAGACGGCAGCCAAGATGGCCTGGTTGTCTGCGGTGGACAGGTCAGGTGCGCCATACAGCCTTCTCAGTTCGTCGACAGAGAGTTCTTGTTCCTGCAGGCAGACAAGAACCGACACAGCATGTGAGACGCCATCACACCCGCAAATCATTTTCAACCGCACATGCGAGAAAGACAAGGGTTCATGGCTGTTTGATGCAGTGTGTGTCTGTGTGTGGTCGAAAGTAGCACACCCACATTCACACCTCCACACCCACATACACACACACACATACACGCACACACATGTACACACACGCACACACACACACCCATACCCACCCCCACATCCACCCCCACATCCACACATCCACACACACACACCTGCTCCAGCATGGCGAGTTCCTCTGCAGCTTCCGCAGATGTAATGCGCAGGTTATCCTCATCATCATCATCGTCATCGTCATCATCGTCGGGATTTTGTGGGTGGCCATTGTGTTGTTTCCGAGATGGAGAGTCTGTGCACAGTTTGAACATGCCAAGCAACGTGCAAGGCCAAGAGGGCGTAAGATCTGGCGCAATGAAATGTGTATGTGCGTGTGCGTGTGTATGTGCGTGTGTGTCGAAGAAAAAGCATGGTGGTGTAAGGTTCGATTGCTGTGGGGAGGGGTGGAAGCAAGTTCACCACCACCACCACCACCACCACCACCACCACCAGCATCCAAGACACCTTGAGGGGCATGGGCAGAGAGAACGGTTTTGCTCTGTGGATCAAAGGCAAAGTGCCGGGTGTACTTGACTGGCTCCTGGTCGGATGGTTCGCTGCTGTCTTTGGGTGCATTCTCAGCATCGTGTGGCACCTGTGTCGAGCAGTGCAGTAAGGGGCACGGGAGGTGTGAGCGGGTGGCAGAGGTTGTGTTTCTTGGTGTCTTGTGTGAGAGTGAATGGGCCTGGGCAAGTCAGCAAAGATGATCCAACAACAAGCAAACGCCTCCTGTCGACACTCTGTGTAAAGGTTCTCGAGCTTTGGGCAGCGTGAACGCACATACATCGCAGACACGACGGTCAAATGCACACCGCAGTGACCATGCACACTGCAGTGAACCATGCATCGCACTCCAGGCAGACGCACCGTGTAGGAGATGGCAAAGTGTGTTGGGGACAGCTGGTGAACGCCCACAATTTGGATGCCTTCTACGTTGCTGTGGTGCTGCGCACACCACGCACGCGCCTGCGCCACCGCAGTGTCCTCATCCACGCTCATCTCACACACACACTGGACGGCTACTGCTAACTTGCAGCAAACGAGTGTTTGCTCGGGTGTGTGTGGGAGGGAAATGCACATCTTCCTCTCCGCTGGCTGGATTTGCTTTGTCGTTGGCGGGGTGGATGTTCACTACTTTATATGCTGTCATTTTTCACCCACGTGGCGCGGCTGATGTGAGAAGAGGACAACGTGCTTACACCCATCCATCCACCATCCATCCATCCATCCATCCATCCACGCGTCCATCCGCACACACATCCGTACTCACGCATCCATCAGATCGCCTCTGCAGCAGCAGCAGCCCACACACACGCACACACGCACACACACAAGGCGGACGGTTCATCATGGATCCCAGCATGCAGGGCGTGTTCCAAATGACAGAGGACATGGCTTCTCAACAGGCACAGGCCATGGAAGCCGCGCAGCAATACATGTGAGTGTGCTGGTGTGGTTGTGTGTGTGTGATAGATTTGCGCACAAACTGCCACCCACAAGGCGCTGCCACCACAAAGATCAACACCAAACACACACACACACACACATACACACACAAACACACAGTTACACGCACCTCAATCCACTCACGATGGCAAACAAACACCACGACAACACACGATACTGTAGTCTGTGTTGCGAGTGCGGTATGCAGATCACACCAAACCCAGCGCGCATGTGCGTGAGCTGCATTCGGTCGCGCGTGGACATTACAGATGGCATCCCCAAGTCGGTAAGTACAAGCAAAAGCACCTGCATCCTACAATGGAGTGCGTGTGCGTGTGCGTGTGTGCGTGATTGTGTGTGTGTGTGTGTGTGTGTGTGTGTGTGTGTGTGTGTGTGTGTGTGTGTGTGTGTGTGTGTGTGTGTGTGCGTGTCTCCGAAAACGATCTCAGCTTCGCTGGCCCACAATTTACGCCATTGCGACGTCCAACCCCAACCCCTCTCCTTCTCTGTCTCCCACCCATCCATCCATACTCACACGGTCGCTCTGCCCGCGACTGGCCCCGCCCCGCGTCATGACAATCTCCTGTTCCTGCTGCCGCTTCTGTTTATGTTTGTTGCTGTGCAGGTGGCTCTGTTCCACTGCAAAGGGTGCGGCCGGTACTCCAACCCGCCCAAGGGCTGGCTCGTGGCGCAGCTCGAGTCGAGAGAGCTGCTGAGCCTCTGTCTGCGCAAGCTCACGGGCCTGAGCAAGGTGCGTCTGGTGGACGCCGGGTTTATCTGGACAGAGCCGCACTCGAAGCGGGTCAAGGTGCGGCTGGTGATCCAGAAGGAGGTGCTCTCCGATGTCATCCTGCAGCAGGAGTTTATCGTCGAATTTGTGGTGCGCAACGAGTTTTGCTCGGACTGCCACCGCATCGAGGCCAAGGACACGTGGAACGCCGTCGTGCAGGTGAGGCAGAAGGTGCCGCACAAGAAGACGTTTTACCACCTGGAGCAGATTATCATCAAGCACAAGGCCCACGCCAAGACCACACGCATCTCCAGCGTCTCAGGTGCCGTCTCCCCGTGAACATGGCTGTGTGTGTGTGTGTGTTGTGTGTGTTGTGTGTTGTGTGTGTTGTGTGTGTTGTGTGTGTGTTGTCTTATTGTTTGAAGCACGCTGGCACGATTGCACGCCGTCCTGGAGGCAACAATCATCTGTGGCATTCACCAAATCACGCACCAAACTACGCACATCAACTCAGCCGACGAATCGTACACTTTGCAGATCACTCACCCATCATCCTCTTTCCTCCTTCCCATGCGCCCTGTCATTGCGTGTTGTCGGCCCGACACCCTCTTCTGTCCGCGTGCCATCAGATGGCGTTGATTTCTTCTTTGGGTCGAGCCACGACGCCCGGCGCTTTGTCAACTTCCTCGAGTCTGTTGTTCCCATCCGCACAAAGACCTCGCAGCGGCTCATCTCCCAGGACTTCAACTCAAACACGTACAACTTCAAGGTGAGAACTGTGTGCGGGTATGTGTATGAGTGCGCGAGAGTGCGCATGAGTGTGTTGCCACAGCAAACAGTCCCACACAGCAAATAGCAAACACTGTGCAGCGCATCTCATGTACTGTGTGTTCCCTGGCGTGCTCGCGTGTGCAACTGTGCAGTACACGTACAGCGTGGAGATCATTCCCGTGTGCAAGAACGACATTGTGTGCATGTCCCCGCAAGTTTCCCACAGGGAGGGCCACATCAGGTAAGCCAAGTGTG